CTCTCCCCCCTGCAGCGCACACAAACTCAATGCAAACCAAGCTCGCCCACTACTACAGAAATAATTGTCTTCATTGGCGGGCCGGACCATAATTTTCAGGGGGGGGCAATAAGCACTTTTTCGCTTAAAAACGCTTGTTTTCATGGCGTTCTTCTTAAGTCCCAGCCAAAAATTTTTTTTTACGGGGGGCAATTGCCCCCTCTCGCCCCTATGCCGGCCCGCCCATGATCAAATGATTAATCTATATATCAGTTTTCATTACATTTCTAATATAAGAAAATGGTTGAATGATGAAAAAGTTCGTCTAGTAAAACAAATTATGTGTTTGAATCTTATCTTGAGAAAAAATACCTACGTGTTCATGCAATATCTGTGACATGGGCTTTGTTTTTTGAGCAATCTAATGTAGTCTTGCATGTACACGTACCAATAATATTGCGTCTATACACGTTCGACTGGACTAATGAATATAAAGTTATGTGTATTTTTTTTGTTATTGTAATAGATAAATTCGATCAATCAATAACTTGTTTTGAAGACCTATCAAATGAATTATTATGTGTAATATTTGATTATTTTTATGGACATGAATTATGTAAAATATTTTCAAATCTTAATTTTCGATTTGAACAACTTCTTCATTCTTCATTCGTATTATTTAAAACTCGTTGTTATTTATTTGAAAACGATGAAGTTATGAATATGTTTAAACAATTAATGTTTCCCCATCGACATCAAATATTTTCTATGAATGTAAATTTTATATTTCAAAATAATTATTTTTTTTCATCCTTTTTATTCGATTCATCATTTGATCGTCTTGAATCAATTTTTTTAAAAGATATTCAATCCGATACACTTATTCCAGTTCTAAGCAATTTATCTTCTTTACCACATCTTTTCTCATTAACAATCGAAACATCCAATGTTAAAGAAAAAATCAGTGATATTTATCGATTGACATTTGTCTTACCTCAATTGAAATATTATCGACTTTCTTTCTCTGATAAGCCTCACTCAATTATACTTCCAATAGCTATGAATAACCAATTCAGTCCATTGGAATATCTTGTTATTGATCATTATTGTTCTTTGAACGAACTTGTAATTTTAATTTCTTATACAACACAACTTCGCCATTTAACTCTTCATAAAACAAAAACGAATGATTTAAATTCTACAATATTATCATCAATTATATTAGATAATTTAGAATCAATTTGTTTGAATTTACGTAAAACAAAATTTAATGAACTAGAAACATTCATTACAAAAATAATTCCAAATTTAAAAACTTTATCTATTATTGAATCAGACGATATTGCTTTTCTTGATGCTTATCGATGGGAACAATTAATTTTAAATTATTTTCCTAAGTTAGAAAATTTTTATCTATTATATAATGATCAAGTTAATAATAAAGAAGAATATCCAACATATATTAGAGGAATGAACCAATTTTCTTCATCATTTTGGATTGAGCGACAATGGCTATTTGAAGTCGAAGTGACGGATATATATAATGAATATACAATTCGTCCGTATAGGTATATAGAAAAATAATTCCGATAGAAAATGAATAATTTTATTTGTTTTTAGTGAAAGATGGTATGATGATATAAAACATGATATTGTTAATTGTTCTGTTGAACATTCTACATTTACCAATTTGACAATCGAGTACATTCCTAATTATATATTCGAGGGAGTGATGTTTAAAGCAATTGAACGTGTTTTAACAATAACACGCATTTATCACTTGGAAATTCACCAGAGAAAGATCTCAATTCCTGTGTTGATTCAAATTATTAATCTATTACCAGATATAATTACATTAAAAATTTATTCATTATCAACAGACGAAACAGAAGAATTAAATGTTAAAGAACTTCTGATTTTATGTTCCATGAAAGAGACAAGTAAAATTAGCAAAGTCTATCTTGAAGAGATTGTTGATATTCAACAACTTGATTTTATTTTTACACTTTGTCCTTATATGGAATATTTCAAAGTTAATCGTATAAATATAATGGATGCTCAATCGTTTTTATGTACTATTTTAAAGAAAATTAATCGCAATAATTATCATTCTCTTCGTTCATTATGTTTTGATGTTCCAACAACATGTGATCAAATAGTTAAAAATATTGAAGAAATAATCACATGTGAAAAATTACTCTTTCACACTAAAGTTCAATGTATATTGAATACTGTTTATTTACAATGGAAATGACTTGAACATATTATATAGTTTTTTTTTTCTTGTGAAATTTAATAAATAAAATAAAACGTTTTGAATTAATCAATTTTTATTTTTCATAAATATAGTCAAATTATTTTAGATCTTAATCATTTCATTTGAATTTAATATTAAATCAAGACATTTATGTTAATATGTTCAAAACTTCTATCGAAAATTTATAAAATTAATGTTTCTTATGAAATCTTTGTTTATCTTGATGATTATTAACTGTATAAAATTTTTTTTCCAATCTTAATGATCGATTTCAACAACTTTTTAATTCTTCATGATCTCTTTTAATTAAAATCAATTTTGAATTAAGATCTAATGACTCAACTAGCAATATCTAACAATCAAATTATACTCAAGAATAAATATCGAATATTTTCATTTCATTTATCATTGATGCCAAGTACGACAGAATTTTTTCTATTATTCGTTTGTCTGAAATCAATCATTGTCAATCTAACTGCATCGAAAATACAAGCTTATCTAATTTAAAATCGATTTATTTCAATATGCATCAAATAACATTTAATGAATTGAAAATATTCTTAAGAAAAATATGTTCAAATTTCAAGATTTTATCAATTCATTGATTGAGTGTAAGTCGATATTTGATGTTAAAATTTTAATTTGCAAATATTGAGTATATAAACATTAAGAGATAGTATGATGATGCAAAAAATAAATAGTATTAATTATTTTATCGAAGGATATGGGATGTAAGTGTTTTATTCATCGTACGGGTACATCAATACTCACACTCTATCGCGAAATTTGTTGTTTTAATTCGACAATGTAAATTATCCATTTAAATCATTATAATCGAATGTGAATCAAACATCTCATCATATACGTAGTTATCTTTACTGAACCACTATTGAAATCAAAATGATACAAAAACGTAAATTGCTCACTAATCAAAATCTTATGTGCATTGTTTATCATGATAAAAATTTGTCTTCGCATCAGCTACATCAAGTGCAATTCCGTCCTCATGAAATCTTTGACTACGCGAATACTTTAGCAATATCAAGAATGTATTCGTGGTAATCAAGCTCATAATTTATGCTTTGTAACACAAAGTCGTAAAAAAGGTCTACAAAATCCTTTTTTTATGAATTTCAATTTGGCCAAGAAATATGATTACCTAATGGTCAAAGATTTCAAAAATATTGACTCATTACTTGAAAAGATAGTTGATGATATTAAAAGATACATGGATAATCAATATGATCTTAACCATGAAATTCACGAACATGATGAATCAACTCTTCAACAAACCACATTATCTTTTGATATTTCTAGCAGATTTCGGTAACTAAAGCCATTTTACTGTTTACCTGGAGTATTACTTAAATTGATTTTATTTCAATCCTTTATTGAACTATTGTTGACAATTAAAAAAAAAGAAAATAATCTTCAAAGCATGTCGTCGAGATTCAATCAATGAGAACAATCCTACTTATATTGAAGAAATTATAGCCCAGCTAGTGTCATTCGATTTTATAGTAAAAGTTCATTTCTTTTTTCGAAGTATTAATGCTGCATTATGTTGTGAAAGTATAGAGAAACCTTCGCAATATAAATTCGATCGAGCGAGGTGCAGAATTACCAAAAAAGTACTTGACAACAATTATCAGATAATAAAAATCATCGTATGTCGCTGAATGACTTTCTTTCAATGACAACAAACAAGAAAGTGGCAAATGTATATGCTAATCCAGATAACAGAGTATTGGGCTATATGAATCAGTTCTATTTCAAGTGCATCATGATGAAACCCAATTAAATGATATAATCACAAGAAAGCGACCCTATGCCGGTATTTCGAATAACAATGATCATGAAGATGAAGTTCTTTTTTTATGGGATTTATTTGTTACATCAAATCTGTTAAACAAATAGTAGAAAATCTTTGAAAAGTCGAGTTAGAAGTATCGACTAGATATTCATTCATATATGAACAATCATTTTGAAGATTGGACAAGTAACTGAACATATTTCATATTAGGCAAACTTTTGCATAAACTTGACAAAACACATTATTGCTATTAATTTTTACAAACGTATGATCAGGTCATCATCGAATCTTTCGCAACATGATCATGCTAGTATTTATCTTCGTATTGCCATATCAGAATACGCAAATAATTCATATGAAAATGCACTTGAAAATCTTGAAAAATCACAAGAAATTATTGGCAAGATGTCTAGATCAAATGATGAAATCAATTTTTGCTTTCGACTAAGTTACACTGATGATACAGAACTTTCACCAATGCCATTTTTAATAAATATAGGTTTAGTTTATCGACAAAATGAATAATTATGAAAAAAGCAAGAGATTTGATTAAAGAAGCTTTTCAAAAACCTGATTCAACTGCAGACAAAGTTAAATTATACAATGCTCTTGGTGAATTAGAGCTTGAATGCACTTATTTTGTTGAAACACACAACAATTATCCTCGAGTACTTGAACTAACTGTAGACAAATCATTAAAAAAAAAACATAAATCAAAGATTAAATTTACTCAATCAGTGTTCACGTTGACAGTATTCATATGAAAATATCATCTACAAATCTAACGTTGTTTTGTTTTTGTCTACATATAGTACCACAAATAAACTATTTCCTAAATATGGATTAATTTATTCGAATTTGCAATTATATATTTGTAATAGAGAACTCGGAATTTCAAACTTAGGCGTAACGAATGTTTGATTGTTACACGACACAGTTTTAATAATTCTCTAGTATACTTTTAGATGCGAACGTCTTTCAATTTGCCATATTTTTTTCTTTGAGCTCTCAGGTTCAGATTAGAATATTTGAGAGTGTATAAACACATACGCAAAGGCATCAATATAGAACTCTATATTAATATTTAAAATGCTACACTTAAGTTACTAAAGGTTAGCTATTTTATTTACAGATGAGTATAAATCTAGCACTTACAGTATTATTCACCTAACTGGAACTATGTTTTATTTTTAATTACAATTAAAAATAGAACGAAAATAGACTCATAACAAAATATTCTGCATTTTACATTCGAATATTGTTACATATCGTGACATTCACTGCAAAAATAATAAACATTAAACAATATTATTCATCCCATTATTATATTATTTCATTAAATGTTTATTTTAATTATAGTTCGAATCGAATCAAGTGTAGATTTCTTTGTTTGTCAGTTTCGAAAACATTCACAATGATTAAGAAAACAGATAATAGACATAATCTGAGTTTTTCAAACAAATAGAATCAATGTAAATAATACAAAGCTGAATAATACATTTGATTTGTTATTAACAAGAACGACGCATTTCAAGAAGTGTGCAATTAAGTTTATCATACTTGTTTACAAAATAAATGTTGGTTCAATATTTCGGTGATTATTTTCATCTGTTAGATAAAAATGAATTCAAATATCCGGTGGCATTTCAATTTATTTGACCAATTACAATCATTGAAACTATACGAAAATCCACAACAACAAAGTTTATCACGAAGTCAAAGTTTGAATGAATTACAAAAACAACAGCATTCACTAGCTAGTATTATCTTATTTTGTTGAAGCATTAAACTTAGAATTCTATTATTGATCGTCCATACCTAACATAATTTTCTTCCATACGGAAGAACCGTTATTGGTGATGTTCATGGATAATATTATAATGTTTTAACAATATTCGAATTAGATTTTCCATTCGATCAACAGTCATACGTCTTTCTTCGAGATTATTTTGATCATAGGTCGTTTTCTTGTGAACATCTTTGTTTTTTAGTGACAAAAAATTACTTATTCACGATCATTGATATCTTTACGTAATAATCATTTACATTTAGCGATGGGACTTTACTTTTACTATCTAATAAATATTAAATAAAATATTTACTACGATAAGATAAATATATGTAATTATGCACATATTACAATGATATATGCATATTTTCCTGAAATAACTATACTATATTTCAGCGTAGCCTCGAAAAACGAATGTCAGTTATCGTTCTCCAACCAAGTAACCTGTAATGAATCAGTCACTGGATAACGGAAACCTGGAAAATTTCTATTGCCAGGTACAAAATTTTATGAAAAAAAATTATTCCTTATAATGCTCAATCGAAAGAAATCGAGATCGGGAAATCCAGATTTGCAATCACATTTTTTAAATTTTGAACTCGAGTTTTCTACATGAAGAAAGGGTTTTGTTGTTGAACTCACTTATGTTTTCGAAGAAGATAATAATGAGTATAAGTTTTAAGTCGAACTTTTCTGGCTCTCCCCCAACTATTAAAGATCTAAACAACCACCATTAAATAATGGATATACATATGTCAGCCTTATTTGCCATTTAGTTCAATGCTTATAATACTAATACTAAATTAAAAAAGATGAATTACTGAAATAAGAGTGGGGGGGGGGGGTGAGTGTGGACGCTATTCCTTTCTTAGTACACACTGCACACCGACATGGGTTAAAATAATGTCGAGTAATCTCATTGCGCAGAGTTGAGGATGTGGGTGTGGGTAAATAAAAAACCAACACCTACACCAACACTAGAAAAAAAATGGCGTCGTATCGAACCATTTTGTTTCAAAAATCGAAACCTTTTTTAAGTCCACAAAACTCTTCTTGGTTTGGTAATCATAATTTTTTTTCCAGTGCGCCCACACCCACATCCACATTCCATACCTCACACCCACACACATCCCATATCCATCGACACTCACAACCTTGTTCTATTGATAAAATGAATATAATCAATTTTAATGAAAAAATTCAAAGCTTAATAAGTGAAAGTTTTATATTTGATAAAAATGTTTTATTGAGACGTTATAGAATCGGACGATTATTCAGAAACGTTCATTTGATCATCACCACTAACGTCTTTATCTTCTACCCAAGGTACAGTATAACTCATTGCTTTTTCTTTTACAAGTAAATTTTCAGATTGTCTTAAATGTCGAAGAAGATGTTGACATTGTTCTCGATCGACACCAGATTGATTAAATACATGATTTGTAAGTAAATCAAAAACGAATAATGGTTGATTTCTGTTCTTAACAAACCATTGAGCTAAATTAAGTTTTTCATCAACATTTAATTGTTGAATAAAAGGACAAGATTCTTCCTTATCAATAATACTTGATAATTCTGTTAATATTTTTTCGAAATAATTTTCAGATAAATTTTCTTGCAAAATTCTTAATCCATCATCAATATCTTCTTTATTTTGAGCTATTTTTATTAATAATTTTCCAATAAGAGGAGCTAATGTTTTATCGAATTGAAGAACAATTAAAGTAAGTGAACGTACAAATTTTTTTTTCTCATTACCAAATTTATCTATATAGCCATCGAGGTTATTTAAAATAAGTTGAATACGACGATAAACTGGTAAATCATGTTGGCTATCAATCGCATTCTGTTTTGAATCAAGTTCATCTCGAAATAACATTATTTTTTTAATAATATCAATAATTATATCAAATGAAGTTCTATTAAAAACAAGAAGAAAAAAATAAATAATTATTTTATTTGTGATATAATTATTTTATTTTTTCAACTTACATTTTTTGTTGTTCAAAAGATAAAATAATTTTTTTAAAAGCTTCTCCAAATAAAACATTTCCATTAACATCAAATTGAATACATATTTGTTGAGCTTTTTCAATTAGTTTGTTCGTATGACAATATTCATGTTCAATATTCGACCATGCCCATGAGCGTGCTTCTAACGATGTTGGATGATCTAATATTTTAAATTGTATTCGATTAACAAATGTTTCAAAAAAGTGATTTGATGAATTTTTTAATTTTGATAATGGCCAGCGAGATTTTCCTCGATGAGCAGCAAATAAAGATTCAACAACTGGAAGATAATCATCATCTGCAGCTTGTTCAAGAATTTCCCAAATAATCGTATCATCGTCATTTGAATTTGATTTGCCAATAAAATGAAGTAATGTCAATATAAGACATGCACGAACATCTTGATGAGGACGATTATTCCATAAAGGTTTTACGATAGTTTTTATTAAACTTGGATAAGATATATATTGAATTAATAAACGAAGAATTTCTTTATTTGCTGTTATACCTAAATGAATAAACAAAATATATTTTATTCTATTTATTATGAAATTATAATTCAATTTACCAAGTTTTTGAAATTGTTCATTCTGAATAAATTCAAGATATAATTTTAAAAATATTTCATCACTTATTTTACGTGAAATACTTAGCATAGCATCACTAATAAATTTCGCATTTGATGCTTTTAAGTTAGTTTTTAATAAATCAAAATGTTTTATTAAATATTCTTGATTTAAATCAAATGTAGCTGGTAAACATAGAATTATATCGTCAAGTGGTTGAACAGCAGCACCACGTGTACGCAAACTTGTATTTTCATTTGAATTCTTAATTGTTAATGGAGAGTCTTGTCTATTATGAAGCCATTCAAGAGTTTTATTATATGTATGTGATAAACGACGAAGAACACGTAAGGATTTTAATTTCTCCAAATTTGATATTTCCTTATCCTAGAAAAAATGATAAAACACAATTGATGTTATTATTTGTTTTCTTTTTTTTTTTTTGTTTAAATTATTACTTGAAGATAATCGTTTAAAATAATATTTGTAATATGTTCTTGTTGTTTTCCAGTCAATTGACGAAAAGAATAACTCAATAAATTAATATCTAATCCAGGTAATTTGAGATTTTTCGTATAAGAGTTTAACTTTGTTGAAAGTTTACTTTGTTCATTTGATAATTTGTCAAAATCAACACATTTATCATCTTGAATTAAATCATTTAAGAATTTTCGATGTTGCTGAGAACGTAAAACAATTCGCTGAACATTATGATCGATAAAAAATATCTTATCAATATTATTAATTAATTGATTAACTCGTTCAAATTGAGTTGATTTATTTTTTAAATAAAATGAAATAATGTTCGCGTGTCCATCGATTTCAAATGATGATTGAAGTTTAGTTGATGAACAAAGAGATTCAAGAAAAAATAAATTCAGAAATGAATCAATTTGTGGTAAACGCCAAGCATTTTCTATGAATATATCTAATGCATTATTCAATTCTTGTAACATTAATTTTGAAATTAATTTTGGAAAAACATCTTGTACAAGAATATCAGCAAATAGACGACGTGCTTCAGGATATGATTCATTTATTGGTGATGAATTAACTGTTATATAATCACCTTTTGAATAACACCTATATTAAATATTAAATATTATTTTCGATTATATTATTAATGTTCGAGTCTCTATTCATTTTATTCACTCTGATGAAAATCTTACAAAATTTTCTATTTAAATCATTATTTATATTCATTTGATGAGATTTCAAAAATTTCAGAAAAAGAAAATCCTTTTTAGTCTGTTAAGTGATTGATTATAAAATAGACTAAAGAGGGAACTTCGTCAAGTGATAAATCGCTTTTATGATCAGTCTTATCTGATTCTGTAGGGCCTATTCAAACTAGAACAAGTCTACAATGATCTGTGTCCATAGGTCTTTCTTCTTGAGTTATCTTCATCTTATTGAGTACTTTCAACAAAATATCATGCTCTACTCAACTTATCTTGAAAATTGACTTTCGAGTTCCCATTGAGAACTTAATCTGTGCAAAGTTTAAACTCAAAAGTCAATTTTGAAAATGGCTTGAGTAGAGCATGACATTTTGTTGTTGAAAATACTCAGTAAAATAGCAATAACGCAAAAAGAAAGATCCACGGACACGAATTATTTTAGACTTCTTCTACTTTAAATAGGCCCTACCGAATCAAATAAGACTGATCACAAAAACGATATATTACTTGATGAATTTATCTTGTAAGATAAAGTAAGTTTTTTATTATAATCTATCTAAAAGTGGACAAAAGTGATTAGTAATTTTGTACTTCAACGATTCAATAGATTCTGAGTAAAATTCAACGGTAGACTATATCGATCGGTTATGTTAACTAACATGCAACATAAGATGATTAAGATTAACTTGATTATCTTTTTGTGTACTCAAAAAGTGAGTACACTCTAGAATCGGTCAGTATGTCCGTCCGGCCGGCCGGCCGGCCGTATACACGATAACTTTCGAAAGGAGAGTCAGATCATGATGAAATTTTCTACACAGTTCAGTCTTAACAATGTCTCGGTCGAGTTCGAAGATGAGAAGAATCCGTCAAGAAATAGCTGAGTTATCGAAAAAATTGTCATTATTGAGAAGACCATCCCTGAGGGNAATAGGGAAAGATATACAGTGTAAGAATAGAAAGATGACAAGGATAGATGTAATGTGCGATTGAATCAAAAAAGAAGATTGAACGTCATGTACGAAGCGTAATCAACGTGAGAACGTCGTAATATATATTATTGACATAGAACATTTGTGACATTTCCGGTCGCTTTGAAGGCAAGACATACTAATAACAGAAATGTGTAAAACATAATGAAAAAATAAGGCTTGATATCTCGATGCAATTTTTACGGTTGTAACGGTGGTAATAAATAACCACTATATTATCAGCGTTTCATAAATCCAACCCCATAGTCACATCTATGTTTAACCGTTCACCATGATAATCCTACTCAAAACTAATTATTTTCGCTATTTGTTCATGACGGAAAGGATAATATCCGTAAATAGCGAGATAAAATCAAGATTTAGAGAAGTCCATTGTGGTCGAGAAGAGCATTCAAAAGTAAAATCAATTTTTCTAAATTTAACAGTCGATATTTACGAAATTTTCCTGATTCTTATCGGAAGGAATCAGTATCTTTTTTGTCCAAGAGATTGACTGTTGAATTTCCAAAAATCTGTCTGAATTCGAACTGCTGAAATCTGATTTGTTAATTTCAGGCATTTTGAGCAGATACTCACATTTTCTAAGAATATCGTTTTCGATTATGAGTGTGGCCAACGAAAATCGTCATTTGATAGTGTACGCGTATTGCATAGAACGATTAAGCATAGGCACGGTTGTACTGATCGTTTGTATTCTTAATGGTAACTGTTCATTGGTCGAATGATGCCATTTATTTGAACATAACTATCAGAAGTTATTAACAAGTGGGGTAGGTTTCTGTTATTGTTATTATTATGAAGAATGTGATCGTGGAATGTTTATAGTAGCTATTTTATGTGTTATCTTGAAGTGGTTATCTATTAAACACATCTATATTAAAATAAATTATGAAGCCATCAAGCAATTGAGCTGAAAGCAAAAGCAGGTTGTCATGTTTCGTCCCATGATTTATCCATAGTACATAATGTTTTTGATCGATATTGTCAAGTATCTCATGAGTATTACGATCAAAAACAGAATTAGGCTTCATTGTCTTCTGTTAATAAGTGTATGTGCGTATGCATGGTTTTTTATCCATCGCATCTAATGTGTAGTATTGTAAAAGAAATTACAACAAAACAAGAAAAAGAAAAGATTTACAGAAAATAGTTGAAAATTGCTACATATTAGTGTAAGGATCGCGCCTCTCCTTATGTAGATTCGTAACGCACGTGTAGCTAGACAACTGAGTGACCTAATAGCGAAGAAAAAAAGGAGATGAACAACGGTCGCAGAAGTCTGAAAAACATGTCGCACACCCACGTCCGAAGAACGGGAAAATTCGGTGTAGAATGCCAAGGAAATTTTCTTCACCGGAAAGAGACAAAAATGCTTGATAGGATGTACAAATGCCTATTTCTGAATGAAAAATGTCTAAAAAAACTAAAGAGAATACTAGCCTCCTATGAAAGGTATTTCTCGATCTGTCACTAAATGCCGATGCATATTCCTAATAAAGTGCTTGCACTATATACCAGCACCTCTCCCCGAAAAAAACCTAATTGTTCAAGGACTCTCCTTCGAACTCAACGCTCCCTAATTCCACTTATCTATATCTCGTAATTTCAGTGATTCCATTACGCTCTACTCCCGTAAATATTCACCCAAATGCTCAATGGAAACAAAATGGTATAACTGTGGCTGGAGGAAATGGAGTAGGTAATGCAAAAAATCAACTGTGTTACCCATGGGGTTTGTATATTGATGATGATCAAAGTGTCTATGTCACTGACACGTCCAATCATCGTATTATGAAATGGAAACCGGATGAGACAAGTGGTCAAGTGGTTGCCGGTGGAAATAAACGAGGAAGTGGAATTCATCAGTTGTCTGATCCATACGATGTGATTATCGACAAAGATACTGATAGTCTCGTAATCTGTGATGGTTCGAATCAAAGAGTGGTTCGATGGCCTCGTCGAAATGGTACATGTGGAGAAACAATCATTTCCAACGTTCATTGTCGGAGTTTGACGATGGACGAGAATGGCTCTCTCTATGTCACTGGCGCAGGAGAGGATAAAGTAAGACGATATCGAAGAGGAGAATCTCAAGAAACAGTGGTTGCAGGTGACAATGGAAGTGGAGATCGTCTCAATCAACTCTCTTGCACAGAATATGTATTCGTCGATCAACATCATTCAGTATACGTTTCTGAATGGAAAAATGATCGTGTGATGAAATGGACAGAAGGTGCAAAACAAGGCACTGTTGTGGCTGGTGGTCATGGACGAGGAAATGGTCTCAAACAACTGGCATGTCCTCGAGGCGTCGTTGTCGACCAAATGGGCACTGTCTACGTGGCTGATGCAGGAAATGCTAGAATCATGCGATGGCCCGAAGGAGCCACACAGGGAAGTGTTATTGTTGGTGGAAATGGTATAGGAGGACAATCCAATCAACTACATGGACCCGTTGGTTTATCATTCGATCGATATGGTAATCTGTATGTCGCCGATAACGGTAATCATCGAGTACAAAAATTCAACCTGAAATACAACGGCTGATGACTAACCGATTGACATACCCAACCGTGGAAAAATAGTGCGCCACACAATAACTGCATCGACAACTTCAAGTGCCAATGAAAATAAAATAGTCCAAAATACAATAGGGTGTGGGTGTGTGTGTGGGTGTGGGTGTGTGGGTGTGGGTGTGGGTGTGTGGGTGTGGGTGTGTGGGTGTGGGTGT